TGTCTTTTGGGGGGGGAGAGGCACTTTAAAAAAAAAAAAAAAAAAAAAAAAAAAAAAAAAGCCAAAATGTTTGACACTTATTTCAAATAAAACTTCAAATTCTACTCTCTCTTAAAAATCAAAGAGATCTGGGGGACCAGCAGGTGGAGTGGTGGTTAAGGCGCTGGACATTCCCATATGGCCAACCATGGTCCAAGTCCTGGACCTGGTGGCTTGCTTTCTCACTTTCTCTCTGTGTTTCTCTGGTCAAAATAAAAGAAGTAAACGAATAAATAAAATTAAAAAAAAAATCAAAGAGATCTGGGCCAGCAGGTGGCATGGTAGTTAAGGCACTGGACTCCCACATGGCCGACTGTGGTTTGAGTTCTGGATCTGGCAGCTTGCTTTCTCACTTCTCCCCTCCCCCTCTCTGGTCAGATTTTTTTCTTTTAATTTAATTAAATAAATAATTCTTTAAAAATAAAAAAATCAAAGAGATCCTGACATTCCTGCCTTGCGATCACTGGACGAAGCTGAACCATCTCTGCCCTGCGCGAGCTGGGTGTGCGCTCTCCAGCCTGCTGGAGTCCTGGCTCCCTAACCCACGTGGCCCGCTTTACTGGCTCACATTACCTGTGTGATCCTCGAGCTAGGGTGACCATATAATCTATCACCTGAACCAGAGTGAAAGTCAGTGCTATTGGACACACCAGAATAAGGAGTACAAACCGGAAATGTCCTGGACAAATTCAGGTCTCCCACCATCTCTCCCCAGAGGCACCTGAGTTAGCATGGCGTCGAAAGGGTGTGTGATGTGAAGCACAGGAATGGAGAGTCATGAGCAAGCTTACCTTTTTCATTTTCCTATTCACCAGGTCCTGCTTTTTTTTTAGTGCACTTCCAGCTTCAACATATCAACATTTAAGACCACAACCTTCTTTTTCTGCCCGGATTCCACCTCCTGCCCTGCAGCACAGAACCAAACACAGCACGATCACCCTCCTGGAGCGAGCTGAAGGAAGGACAGCACTAATCCCGGGGACAGGTGTCCCTCCTCAGACCCAAAGAGGAAGGGAGGGAAGCCCGTTAGGGAAGCCAAGGGTCCATCTCCCGTAGTTCTAGTTGAGATGGGCCTTAATCTACACAAACTGATATATGGAAATTTTAGATGTACTCGTTTATGACAACTACAGAATTCACACCTAAATCTCCAGTATGTTGTCAATCATCTTGATCTGCACGCACACAGGTATAAGCACACCAAAAGTTTCTACGGGACTGATGGGCAACTGTACTCAGACGTTCTGTATTC